AATACTTTTGGCAATATAGTGTATATATATATATATATATATATATATATGTATATATATATATATAAATTTAACATCTGAAGTAACATATTTAACATGGTATTTTGAACAGGTTATTGCAAATTGCAAAGGGTATTAAAGAAGATCTAAAATCTCTCCTGAGAATGGTCTTATGAAACAAAAGTGTAACTTTTTGGCCACGCGTACAATCAATATATATGTTTGATTTTGCCACAATAGCAACACTGAGTATCACAAAAACAGCAGCATACCCACAGTGCACCGTGGTGCTGCCACCTTCATACTGTTGTGTAACTTTTCTTTAGATTGGACTAGAATTTTTGTGAAGGTGGATAAAGTTATGAACTGTCAAGTTTCTGTTAAGGAGCTGAAGATAAAAAAATTGGTTTTGTTTCTCAGTTTTAATACAAGCCAATAAACACAACTGGATAAAAAAAAAAAACAATGACTTCCCAAGAAGAGAATGAATGTTTTTCAAATGACCTGGACAGAATTCAAACTAAATCTAAGTGGCTGTCACTACACAAGAGATTTGGAGAACTTTTGCACTGAACAACAGGATTAGATATAAAGGTGCAACAAAATTTTTATTGATGGGTGTATGCGCTTCATCTATAAAGAACCATTAACGTCTTTTCAGAAATCTGGTTTCATACGCCTTTTTTAACACATGTATCTTTGTTAAAAATTCCCTGGAGCTTTATTTCATAGTAAGATGTAAGCAAACTGTGTGTTGTCCCTGTTGCATGTGAGTTGTGGAGCTGTTTCTTTTAGGCCATCTAACTGAGAGTAGGGAAGCGCTAAAAACAGTGTGTGACTGAGTGAAAGCAGACGAGGGTCAAGCACTGGCCCCTCTGATAAGGAAAATGAAATTCCTTTCTGTTTTATCTTGTTGGAAAACAGCCCTAATGAAAGTATGTGAGATAGCATGGGGCAGATCGCACCTCAAGCAGGCCGGGATGACATGCATGATGACAAGAGCAAATCTTTCACTCATTTGAAAAAGAAGCATCTGTTCCCCACGCTAAACTATATATACCTAAACAGCTGATTAAATCACAATCATTATCTTGTTAAAGTAGGAATGTTCAATGTGTGATTCCAAAACTTTGGAAATACCTTAAATGTCCTCCCAACTTGTGATAATATAATTTTCTGTGCTCCAGAACCATTTTTTAAAGCTCAAATATTTGGCTCAATTAAAGTAAACATGTCACTCCTTCTCAGCAAGAGTGCATCAGAGCAGAGCGTGAATGTCTGTAATTTCTTCTGCTGTTTCAAGCCGCAAGGCCCCTCCCCATCTCTCACTCCCACTTCTGTCATCTTGCAGAAGAAGTGGGGAAAGTCATTAGCCACAAAAGGGGAGGAGAGAGCAAGTGGTTGCTATAGCCATGAAAGTCAGGGCTGAGCTCCACGCCACTGAGAGCTGGTGAGAGGCCACCATCAGGGAGTATCTGCACGGGGAGGACAATGCATTTTCAGCTCATTAAGCTTTATAAACAAATGGCTTACTGTTGAAGATGCTAGATGTCATGGATGAGGGCTGAAAGACTTTGGGAAGTAGGTCAATGATTGTTTTCATATTTCTCAAAATGTCTTATGATTTCTGTTGAAGAATCTAGGAGAGAAAACTGTACTTATCTTTGGTTCATATAATGTTGTATTCTTGGGAAAAAAAAATTTAAACTGTACCTCAATTAATTTATTTCCTTTAAAGGATCAATAAATCCAGATGGGCTTTTGAAGGGGCTTTAACTGGACTTCATTAAGATGAGCTTAAAGACGACAACTAGCGGCTAAAGAACAGGATCTGAGTACAGACTGAGTAAGATGGGCAACGCCATCCGAGGAGTCATCGCCTTCATTCCCTCTGAACGCTGCCAGCGCTACCTGGTAGGAGACCTGAAGGAGATGCCGCTGGACCGGACCCTGGACCTGAGCAGTCATCAGCTGCGGCGGCTTCCTGTCTCTGTCTGCATCTTTGATGAGCTGGTGAAGCTTTACCTGAGTGACAATAACCTCAGAAGCCTGCCTGATGAACTGCAGGGCCTCAGAAAGCTGCAGCTTCTTGCCCTGGACTTTAACTGCTTTGAGGAGCTCCCTGCAGCAATCTGCAGGTTGCAGCAGCTCACTATACTTTACCTTGGCAACAACAGGCTGCACCGTCTTCCCAAAGAACTAAGACAACTCAAGGAACTGAATACTCTGTGGTTGGAGACGAATTGCTTCACTGTTTTTCCAAAGGTAGTTTGTGAGCTCAAAAACCTTAAGACGCTGCATCTTGGATATAATCAGATACGTAGTTTGCCAAAAGATCTGAGGCGTTTGGAGGAACTGAGAAGTATCTGGCTTGCCGGGAACTTGCTGACAGAGTTCCCACCAGAGCTGCTCCAAATGCACTCACTGGCCGTCATTGATGTGGATCGGAATAAAATACGACAGTTCCCGAACCTGTCTCACATGCAGGGCCTGAAGCTGGTCATTTATGACCACAACCCCTGTGTCAACGCCCCAACGGTGGGCGAGGGTGTGAGAAGAGTGGGCCGCTGGGCTGACAATTCAGATGACGAGCAGGAAGATGAAGGAGCCAAAGTAAGGAGTGAGGATACAACTGAGGGGGTAGAGGTGCATTCGGAGGAAAAGCAAAACAACGTAGAGCAAGAAAATGACGTTCAGCTGTGACTGGGCCTGAATATCAGGAAATTTTAGTGGAGTCCTTAAAGCAGAATGTCAGAGGAGGAACAGTCTGTTTGATCCATATATAGTTAGGCTGATTGCTCTAGGCTAGGCCAAATAGATAATCATAATTTCAGAGTTGTAAAAGGTTTGTATGCCTGTTTGTGGCCACTTTTTTAGTAAAAAGAGATTGTCTTCCACTTTGGTTTTAAAGCCATCAATGATGCAAATCACTTGCTTCCCAAAACAGAAATGTGCTCTTTTGGATTCAGATCTAAGGACTGTGGAGGGCAGTGGAGTACAAAAAACATATTACATTTGAAATAAAAAATGTAGATTATTTGAGGTTTCTGAGATCTTGCATAATGGCGATGGACACATCTATGAAAAGATGGATCTAATGTGTCAAACTGTTGAATTTTAAAATGGACCATTTTTAGACAGTTTCAGTTTTTGCTGTCTTCAGCTGCTGTAGCCCATCAGCTTCATGGTCCAATGTGTTTATTATTTCAATATGATGACAAGGGGTTATATTACTACTGTTATATATATATTTTTTTGTTATATTGAACTAGTCTCAATTCTCGACTCTGAATTCAAATCGGTTATTTTTATTCTTGATATTTTCTTTTTCTCAGGCCATTTTCTGTAAACCCCAGAGATCACTGTGCATAAAAATCCTATTAGATCAACAGTTTCTGAAACAACCCTGCCAGGTTGGGTGTCAGGTAACTCACCTTTCTGTGAACTTTAACAACCTCTGATGGTTCGGTTATGTTCAGAAAATTAAATTGCATAGCTAATTAAGTGGCTAGTGAGTGCACATTTTTAGCTCAAATTAAATTTATGGTTTTAGCGATCAAGTTTGACCTATTTTATCTTACAGTTGCAAAACAGTATTTCAAATCATTTTTAAAGGTGTTTTTAAAGATTATTTTTAGGCACTAGAGGCCTTTTTTTTTTTTTTTTCAAGAGTATGGAGACAGGAAAGTGGGTTAGAAGAGAGGGGAGAGACATTCTGCAAAGGTCAGCAGGACCGGGACTCGAACCTGCGACAGCCGTTTAAAGGTGTTCTTAACTACAAGTTGTTTTTTACAAATTTCTGTGAACATATGCGGCATTGAAATCCATAATTTCTATTAATGTAATATAGCTGGCCCATTTACTTACCAATAGTTAAATGACAAGTCTATTGTTGGGTCGGGGGGGTTAACTCAGAGATTTAAAAAATGGGTTTTAATTCTAAAATAGCTTCTGCACCTTCCGAGGCTAAAAAAAGTCTTTAATACTAGTGATGGATGGTCTGAGTAACAGGGCGCAGTCATTATCCAGATGAATGCATAATTCATTTGATAAATTGGAACTGTGGTTTCGAATAAAGGTCACTAATGGGGCTTAATATCCTTATCCGAAGCTTATGGTTTGAAAGAGCCAATAAATGCATGTTTGTACATCCTTAAGTTACCAGGAAATGTTGTCTAAATGGAAATAAAGGCCACTTCACAGTAAAGGATTTGATACATCTGAGGCTTGCTTTTAACGAAGCCAACAAGAACACACATAAAAGGGCTGTGAATAATATATTCATCCAGGAATGTAATTGTTCCCATAGAACTGGAAGAGTTTGGCCAGCATTGTTTCCCCATCAGAAATAAAAACATTGCAAAGCTGCTTTCTGTGATTCATTTGGGTCGACGTGTCTGACATTAAATTGTGTGTGTTGATAAAAGATAAATATTGAGGAGGAGGGGGGATATTTTCTCACTGCACTATAAGTGGCATATAACTGTCTAAATTGAACCACAAAATGCAGAAATTATTTTCAAAATTCACATTTCAGTCATCAAATCATAAATTGGGGTATTCCACCCATTTTATAAAGATAACACAACACAGTATAAAAAGACACTGACAGAGCATCTTAGGTTCAACACAAAAATGAGGTCATCGGTACATATATATATATATATATATTTATTTTGCTCGTTCAAACACATAAATAACAGCTTCACATAGTTTGAAAAATCTAACATATCTATGAATATCTTTGGTAGAAATATCCAGGGAACACAGAGCAACCATAAAAACAAAATCCCAAACTCCTCTGCAAAAGCAGGTTAAATACTAAAAAGGCTGAGCCGCACAATCCCTACATAGCTTTTAGCAAGTGCATCAACTTCAAAGCCGTAACTTCACTTTCCCCTGTTGTATTCTTACATACATCTTAACAACCCCATCTAAAATGATCTGAGTTGGTTGCTGATAAAAAAAAAAAAAAAAAAAGTAGAAAAAAAGGATGTCCTGACTCTAGAGTTTTATATAGACATGTAACAGGAATGAACACTGAACTCACCAATTACACTGAGACAGAACCCGGCTTTGTAATACCAGACAAAAAGGTCAAAATTGCTTCCCTCAGGCTGGACCAATGTTTTTCATGGAAAACTTGGTGACATCAAAGATGCTTTCTGTTGAGCAAATTTTCCAAATCAAATTGCCTTGAAAGAGCTTGTTGAGAAAAAATCACATGTATTTAATCATTTTTTTTCAGCAGCATGGCATTTACTTTAAATAGTCTCAGAGTAATTTCATGATAAAACTTTTAATAATGTCTTTAGGTATGATTTTTGAAAAAAACAAAACAACAAAAGTAGTATCCACTAATTGAACAGCAGTGGGAAAGGGGAGTATTTTTATTGATGGGGATCCACAGATTAAATAGTAGAAATGCATTTCCCCCTCGGTCTTTAAATGCACCATTTTTAAATGAATGGAACCACAGACAGCTTGTATTCAGATGCACGTCTCTGTGTTTGGTAAAACAAAACAAAAAACAACAGAGAAATGTTCCTTCAAGCTTAAATCTTTCTATGTTTTATCTTCTATGTGTTATAGTACTTAGTAAACAAAATTGATCAAAGTCTGCTTTGAGGATCTAAACGTCAGTAGCAACTGGAAAATCAGTAATGGCCAGTAAAAGCCTGATCAGTGGTTCTCCTGCAGAGATGAAACACAAGCAGGTTGAGTAACATAAAAAGGGCGTGTCAGACAACCGATGGACATGCCAGAACTCGAATGTAACGCCTTCTGAACTGGGATGCTTAAATGCCACAAACATATGACTTGTAACAGTGCTGCAGCAAAAGAAGTCAACAGAGGTCCGACTGAAATTAAGACAAAACTATTGGATCAAGTGCAGACTGAAGCAATACATGTCATGTATTCTGCTTGAGTTCTATCAAGCTGTAGGTTCACTTTAGTCTACATCTAAATCTACATTTGGCCATTCAAAGTGCTAAACAGTGTTTGCTATATTATGCTTCAGAGACTCATCCAAGGTCCAGGTCTGTGGCGAATGGCTGTCTCTCCAGGCAGAGACCGAGGGCTGCCATCCAGCACGTCTGACCCGTCAGTTTCCCCAGGTCCCTCAGAGTCATGAGACTCTGCATCTGCTGTATGTGTAGCTTCAGCCCCAGAGGCATCTGGGATTACAGAGAGGGTCTTTGACGAAGACTCTGCTACGGCACCATTCTCCTGGGTATCAAACGTCCCATTGATGGAGCCAATAACAGCAGGAGAGCTAAGTTCTTTCTGTGAATTTTCCCTTTCCATGCGCTTTCGTGCCTCTTCCCTCCTCTTCTGGATCCGTGTGTTGTCTCCCAACATGACCTTGACTCTGACCTGTTCTGGAGGCCAGAGCCCACCCCACATTACCTGCAGGTATCCAAACAACGCTATGACGCTGAGGAAGGCGAAGTTGGTGGCCACTCCGATCACTGCAGACGTCAGGGGGAAGTTGTACAAAACATATCTTATACCAGTGAAGTAAGCGTGGATGCGGAGCTGAGCTGAGTAGATCTGAACCCGTCTGGACTGGATCTCAATGACTGCGCCCACTGTGGGCTGATAGGCGTTTGTCTTGTAATCAGGATAGAGCTCCACTTCTATGAGTTGCTTCTGCTCCGTCATCCCAGCCAGGAGGAGAGGGGAGAAAAACAAAGTGCTCAGGGTTTGCAGAAGGCTGGAGCGATAATGCAGCATGGTTGATCGTCCTACTGATGACACAGTCATCCCACCTTTGGTATAACAGGACATCTTGATCATGAACATACCCAGATTTTCGTTAACTGGAGACTCCGGCATCTCCAACTCCAAAGACACCCTGTAAGGCTGGCCGTTGGCCATCACCTGGTCCCTCTCATTCTTCATGAAGGATATGTTGGCTGTGGGGAAGGAGCACAGACCTGATCCCGCTGCATCACAATCAGAGGTATAGTAGAAGTGCACGGGAGTGGAGAAGCTCACAGTGGGCATGTAGGAGTAGTAGAAGCTCCCATAGAGAAATATGGACACCCACAGCAGCAGAGATAGGGTGCAGAAAAGAATGGCGGCCTGGAAAAGCGTTCGTCGGGCTTTGTGAAAAGTCACAGCAGCCACATCCTGCAGCCAGTGGAGGAGCGGCCCAATCGCTGCTCCCATCGTGACCGTTTGAACTGCGGATCCTCCTCGGTGCTCCGTGGACTGCTGCCTTTGCGGTGAATCGTTAGGATCTTGCATTAGTGGGTGGCTCCAAATCCAAACAGCAATTCCTTATTTTCACACCCCATGACGAAGCTCCTTCGCTAGCAAGCTTAGCTAGCAAGCTTCAAACTCGTAACCAGACTGAAACATGTTATGTCTACGCTGAGAAACACGACATAACAAATGATCGTTTAGCAAAATCCATTAGAATTATGCTCCCGCTGCTGTTATGCGCTTCAGCAACTTCCTTCTTCGTCTTCTTCTTGAATTTTTTATGGCGGTTGGCAAAAACGTTAGGTGAGCATTACCGCCACCAACTGGTAAGGAGTGTCACAAGCAACTTTTTTTTACATTTTTTTAAAATTGAAAATAAAGATTATCAATGACAATCTCAAACAATACGTCAATAATGAACATTACAAGAAAAAAAAAAAAAAAAAAGCTCACAACTCCTATTAATAGCAGTCGAAATGTAAGGTTAGAACAAGGGAAAAAAATAAGGGAAAAAAACGAATAATTAAGTTTTTACAAAGAGGGGACTAACTGAAACTCTTCCAATAAATCAGACAATTTATTTGCTTTAAGGTTCTGCATCTTTTTCAGACATCGCAGAGAATGAGAGGGAGCATTTTGCATAATATGCATTTATGGAAATAATATTTGGTTATAATCATCAAAGTATTAACTAAGAATTCCATCTTTTTTTTTCATTGATATATTAACCAAACTGTATTATTTGTAAGGAATTAAAGTCCACGTTTATAGATCTAGAAGATAAAAAGAGCTGAAGTTGATCCCATAGGTTTCTTACTTCTTTACATTCATAAAACAAATGGTTAGTAGTTTCCGATTGAGTTGTACAAAAACCTCAATTACCAACATTGAATTTCCCTTTGAAAAGCTAGTTTATTCAAGTATACTAAAAGTGCACTAATTTCATACTTAAAATCAGGCAGTGCACTTAGAGTTTACTTATTCTAAACTATATTTTATATGTTTAACAATAGTATAGTCAAGTTTACTTGACTATACTATTGTTTACTTTATTGTTTACTAAAGTATACTTTAGTAAACTTAAAAATGTCCCAATTTAGTTCGAAGAAGTATTACTTCAAGTACAATAAAAGTAATTGTTCGGGTATACTTTCTAAACTTATACTTATACTTAAGTATTCTTAATAGAATTTGCTTTAAGTATACTACTTTTTGCTAAGGGTTAAATCTCTCTCTTAAGTACTCATTTGAAGGATATATGTAATTTATTATTTTAAATTGTAATTCTTTATATTTAGGAGGAATTGGGAATTTCAAATAATTTGTCCTCATTTTGGTTATCATAGATTTGTTGAAATGTAAGAAAAATTTACGTTTTGCTCGACCAGGTACATATTATGTATAGAATATTGATTCAAGAACCTATCAGTGCATTTATTGTCTCTAATATCCACATGCTCCATTTGAAGCTTATGGAGTCTTGGAATAGAGAAATTATATCTGCTGTTTTTAACTAACATAAGAAGAACATTTGGTATACTATGTAAAACTTTATTGTAAGTTGTTAAAGAACAATCAGTTCCATGAAGCCTGTTAAAATCCTCCAAACTTAAAATATCCCCATTACCATCCATTGAGTGAGAAATTACCAGATTTGTTTATTCCACCAATCTTTTATAAATATAGATCTTCTACCACATAGAATGACTCTGTTGTTCCACAGTGGGACATTATGAGGGCTGAAGTGCTTGAAAATTAACTTCTACTGTAGCACAACCTTTTGATTGACATTTGAGAGTTGTCATAAGCAACCTAGCTTTCCGGTGTCATTTTACTGTTCAAATAAAGTTATAAAAAAAAAAAACAACAACAACAAAAAAAACGTAGCTTTCCGTCATAGATATCCATAATAAAGGCCTTTATTATGGATATCTATGGCTTTCCGTTAGGAGGATGACTCGATGACCCGGAAGTTAATGCTACAAACGGATGTGCTTCTTTCTTTGTGTCGGCCCTGAGTCGAAGCAGTTCAGCTCTTATTGGCGTTGCCGAAAAAAAATAATTTCTAATTCACGGACACAAAAAAAATGGGGAAGAAAACTCGCATCACAGGAGGAGCCGTTGGCCGGAGAACGATCTTACAACTGT